AATAAATATTGACTGCTGTGAAAATAAAATATGTAAAATATTTGTATAGCATTGAATTTATAATAAATAATTATAATACATTGAAAGCTTCATAGCAAACATAAAAAACCATGGTAAAAACAAGAAGGTTTCACTTAGTCGAAAAAACTTGAATTTATGTTCGGCAAATCTGCTTGGCAATGCTCCATTAAATTTGAATGCCACACGGCGAATTCGATACGAAATTATGCATTGGCCACATATTCTGGACAGAGTTCAGTTATTTCCTTTTATTTTTTATTTATATATAATTTTTTCTTTTTTAGTTCTTTTGGCAACATCATCGAGTTGTTTATTTGGTTTTCATTAAAAGTTTTGCATTTTTGTGGACAGTTGTGACGTTTGTCACTGTTCAGTCAGTCAGTCAACAAGTTTTTCATATATATATATATTTTTTCATTCATTCTTTTGCCCAGCTAACAAATATGAAAGCATTTTTGAAAAGCTGCACCCAGAGGGAAAATTTGTATAAAGTATTTCCTTAGCCAAATATGCTACATATACATATGTTTAAATGATAGGAATGTAAATGATGGAAGGTAAGTTATGATGACGGTTGCTTGATTGTATGGAGTTTTAGTCTGGCTAATTTAGATTTTCGAAATTCAAATATAACTTAATAATGTGAAAACTAAAAATATACGGGTTTCGAGCCTTGAGACAAGCTTTTGAAGATTTAATAATATTTTACTCTTGGTATTTTAGTTCCTTTATATGAACCTTTTCAAGTTAAAATATTCTCTAGGATTTTGATTCTGTTCTGTTAATCGCTTTTCTACGAAGCTACTAAATGTGAAATGTTATTAAAAATGAATAAAATATTTAACGTAGTAGGTGATATTTTTATTTATTTTATTTATTTATGTTTAGAAATTGTAAATAGTATTAATAATAAAAGATAATTTATAGAGTAAAGCCCTGGGTGCTAAGCTGCTAAGGCCTTTGGCTTGGAAAATCCCTGTGTACAATATGTGATATATATAGAAGCATAATAAATCGGAAGCTGACTCAACTTTTAAAATTTCCATTGAAATTTCATCATGTTTAACTGCAGTCATGAATATTTTACAGAGTATCTTAATGCCTATAAAATTCCATATCAATATTTAGTGTAAATATTATTATTCATTTTTTGTTTTTAACTTTCAAACTTACCTCAAGCTGAGAGTAGCCAAAAAATAAATATCGTTGCGTGGCGAAATTTATTAAATTTATTTTTGCTGATTTTTGCTCAAAACTGTTTTTGACGTTTCCCAAATGATTTCCTGGTGAATCGACATACGGTGAATTAAACAATTTATTATTTATAATCGAATTTAATGCATTTAACAATTTAATTATTTAATGGGTTCACGTTTGAGGCTGTACGAAAATTGTATTTGTTTTCTTGCTGCTCACATGCTGTTACATTTTATATTGTATATATGCGTATATATGTTTGTATATCTACTTAATTATGAATTTAATTATAAACATATTTTTGTACGCGCAATTTAACAGATTTTGAGTTGAATTTTTGCAAAATTTTGCTACAATTTTATGAACATGTGTGTATGTGTGTGTGCTTATATATATGTGAGCGTATTGTTGTTTTCTTGCAATTGCTAACTGAGATAACAATGCGAGCGGAGGTAGAAAGGCGTGGCGAGGGCGTTGCACATAAGCAAACGTCTTCAACTTAATTAAATCAAAACAAGTCGATATGCGACCGAAGCGACTATGTGACGCGTTAATACCCTGTAAGTTGAAGTTGAAGTTGATGTGTGCAGGAGATGTGTGTAAAGATAAACGCATCTACTTGAATGTGAGTTAAAGTATAGTTAGTGATATATAGCATCTCAGATATAGTATGTTTAAGTAATTTTTGGCTGAATTAGACAGACTTTTTCGATACCAGCAAGCATTTTAAGCTAGCCTAAATATATTACTGATTCAAGAGAAAATGTTCCAGGCTAAGGAATTACACATGCTTATGTCTATACATCTGTAAATCATAGATGCCCAAATAAAAGTCTTCAATTATTTACAAATATATTTTATCTTTTATTTAGTATTAAATATAATAGTGTAGTATTCCAATAGGAATAGGGATCCAGTATCGATACTTTCCTAAAGATGTATCGACACTCAATAAGAATTCTATCAAGCGAAGGAGAAGAAATTTCGATTCGAAAGGCAAAGAGAGGGCGAGATCAGCAGAGTCCAGTAAATAATTAAAATCAAGTTTAAATTATGAAAGTCAGAATCATAATAATTGTCAATCATTCATAAATTAATTGAGCTCTCATGAGCTTTGCAATCCACTCGATTGGCCATAGGGCGATAGGGTATTGAGATATTGCAAGTATTTAGGTGGCCATTGGGCATGCAGGCCGTGTATCTGACAGATACTTTTCACAACTAAGTACTACGCGGCAACAGTTGACGCGAATTCACAATGCGAACGCGAAGCGAAATATTTGCGTTTGCGTTTTCATTCATAAAGTGCAAAAAACGAAAAACAAAAAGAAAAAAAAAAAAAACATTTTTGTGCGCCTCACTAATGTCGACTCTGCACCAGTTTAAATGGGTCCACGTGCCGGACTTTTGGGCCAGCTTTGTTGAGGTGGGGATTGGCTCCCAGCTCTGTGTGTTAATGTGTGTGTGTGCGTGTGCGGTAATGAGCGCTGTTAAAATGCGTTAAATGATTTTTCTTCGTCTTTTTATATTTTTCATTGCGTTTTTTTTTTTCTGTTTTGTTTTGCACCTTTTTAGCTTCTTTTGTGCTTGGTTCGCTTTGCTATTTTTGCAGCTACTCGCCAATTTTTGTCTTTCTTTTTTTTTTTCTTTCATATTTGCCTATGAATGAAGTTTATTTATTGTGGGTAACGGCTATTTGCTTGGCATTCGCTTTGCTTTGATTTTTCGCTTGCTTTACTGCTGCCGACTCGCCTTCGTCTTCGCCTCCATCTTCTTCTTSTCGAAGTCGAAACGCATTTTTGCTTTTTGGTACGCAGGAAGTTTTATGACCTGGCTGACAGCAGACGTCACAGAAATTTGCAATTTTTTTTGGCTCCAGCTCCAGCTCTGACTCTGCCTTTGACTCTGGCCATTGGCCAACAAATTGTTGTTGTTGACGGCAAGCGAGGCGGAAAAGCGGCTACAAGCAAAATTTTAGCTAGGTGAGAACTCAAGAGCAGTCAACATCTTAACGAAAAATATTTCTGCCTTTGTGGCTTTCGAGCTAAAAACAAAAGTGCGAATCGAGCTTAGCCAGAAAGTGTTCTTATGAACAAAAACTTTTGGCTTTTTGGCTGGCATTGAGAATGGTTTGTTTCAGTTGATTGGGCAGAGATTGAAGCTTCATTTAAGCTTTAATATAAATGAAATTAATTTATATATCAATTCAGTTCATCACGCTCTGATTATGATGAAATTAGGCATAAAATTTATTACAAATATTTGAAAAAAAAAAAACAGCTAAAAAGAGCTTACTGTAGAATTTGAAACTATTGTAATATAAAATAATATAAAATATAAAATTGTGCTCAAAAGCCATTCAAGATCTCGACTTTCCTACAAACTTAATTACTCCAAGGAAGCTATGTATATATCTTAGTTTATATATTTTACACTTATTCTACATAATTTTTATAACAACACTCCTTTATCTATTAACACAAATTTTTGTTGTATCATCATTTTTATCCAGTTTTTGGCAGACTCTAAACCAAATTAATTTAAAGCATTTTGTTTTAATTCTTGGACATTTCTATCTCGTTTCTAATCACAGTCCCAACTTCAGCTCAGTTCTCTCTATACATGTGTATCGAACAATAAAACTTCATTTCTCTAACCACTTATATCTGCCCTATATATAGTATTAACTAGCATATCACACGCTCTCGCTCTGCGCGCTATCTCTTTCTCCATGGAACACGTGGAAGATATTTAAATACTCTGTATAAGTATCACATAAAATATAACGCAGTCCGTCACTCGGCCAAGCATTTCGTTTAATCTCACGTAACAGAAATAATTATGAAGAGCCACATACATAAATATATCGTTCCACATCGTTCTACAAAAAAAAAAAAAAA